ATTTTGATCGATGTAGACTCCTAAGGATTTGGTTTCATTTTGTATAGCAAGTGAATGGCCAAGATTTTATCCATGCCACGGAAAACGCCGTTTTTCTGCAGCTTTTCAGAGAACTCTCAAAAGATTCCTTTGCTAACATCGAAAATTTTCGGCAAAACCCAGGCACCAAAAGTTGAAATTGTTGTTTCTGAGAAACACCTAACACATGTTCGGCGAAAGCTATCCGATCGCTCTGACAGTTTATTGGTGAATCTTCCATCAACTCCACTCGTATTCATTCTTCAACATTGTTTGCTTGTTTTGCACTAAAATTCCAAGCAGAAAGTTCTTCCATTCCTTTTTTATCTAACATAGCGTTTTCTTGTTTTTTTGCGTTTTCTTCACCTGCGGACACGTGACTTGTGTTGTTGCCAAACTACTTCCTTTCTTCTTTGTCTTTCCTTTTCCCCAGCTAGAACTCATCTCAGAATTGTCAGGAGTTGTTTCTTTGCTACTGCTTTCGGAAGATGTGCTGTGTTCTGGGGAGGTTGCCTCATAGCTATCAAAACTTTCGTCTGATGAACTTTCCGTGCTTTCGGCCATTATTGAAATACTTTTGTGTGGCCTGCATGTGATTTATAACAGTAGAGGACCACAGCTCTCTTATGATTGGCTATTATAAAAAACACCCGCGAAAACCCCCATGGGAGGTGCTCCTAAAAATAAAAAGATACGGAATGGGGTTGACTCAGAGGGTCAGTATGAAAGATGCAAGCTCCGGGTAATGGGCCCCTGGTGTATTAGGGGTATTAGGGGTATTAGGAGTATTAGGGGTATTAGCTGTATTAGGGGTATTAGGAGTATTAGGGGTATTAGCTGTATTAGGGGTATTAGGAGTATTAGGTGTATTAGGGATATTGAGGGTATTAGCTGTATTAGGGGTATTAGGAGTATTAGGGGTATTAGGGGTACATATTATTAGTATTAGGTGTATTAGGAGTATTAGGGGTATTAAAGGTATTAGGGATATTAGGGGTCTTGGGGGTATTATTGGTAGTAGGGGTGTTAGGTGTATTAGGTGTATTGGGGGTATAAGGGGTATTAAAGGTATTAGTTGTATTAGGGGTATTAAGGGTATTTGGGGTATTAGGGGTAATTAGGAGTATTAGGGTATTGGAGGTTTTAGGGGTATTAGTTGTGTTAGGTGTATTAGGGGTATTAGGGGTATCAGGTGTATTAGGGGTATTAGGTGTTTTAGGGATATTAGAGGTAATAGGTGTATAAGGGGTGTTTATGGGTATTAGGGGTATTAGGAGTATTGTTAGTATTAGGTCTATTAGTGGTATAAAGGGTAATTTGGGGTATTAGGGGTATTAGGGTATTGGAAGTTTTAGGGGTATCAGGGATATTAGGTGTGTTAGGTGTATTTGGGGTATTAGGTGTATCAGGGGTATTAGGGGTATTAGGTGTATTAGGGGTAATAGGAGTATTAGGTGTATTAGGGGTATTAAAGGTATTAGGAGTATTAGGAGTGTTAGGGTATTGGAGGTTTTAGGGGTATTAGCTTTATTGGGTGTATTAGGGGTATTAGGGGTAATTAGGGGTATTAGGAGTATTATTAGTATTAGGTGTATTAGGAGTA